GACATTGTTGCAGATTGCGTGTTGAAAGACACACAGCACACGTTCCAGGGTGAAATCGTCTTTCCGGGATCCCTAGGGGATTCAATCCAGCCATAACGAAAGAATTGGTAAGATGGCCTCGTCAGCTGTTCATATGGGGAGTAGGCGATGGACAAATACTAAAGGGACGCAAGGGGAGGGAGCTGAAAGTACATCCATATGTCCAGAACCTGAGACTCACGGAAATGTACCTGGTCAGGAGGACCGTTTGCCTGCTTGAAAATGAAGAAAGTCAAAGCAGCAGAGGCGGTGGTTGTTTATCAGACAATTAGCGTCACCGAAATGGAATTTGAGGTATCGGATTCAACATTTTATTACCCTTGTCCTTGCGGAGATTTATTCGAATTATCTTTGAGTGAATTGATGAAGGGCTTGAGGATAGCGACGTGTCCAAGCTGCTCCTTACAAATCGGTGTTGTGGTCACCGAAGAAGACTTAGAAGATATTTGTTCAAACAATAGCATTCCATTTAGCACATTGATGATCGGATGTTCAACCACCAAGGTTCAAACGTTCGAATCCCTCTTGTAGAATTCCTTCCTCGTGCATATCTCTCTATTGATCCCCAGCGTATTGATTTTCAACATTATTTTCCTTGTTGATTTTCCACTTCTCGCGTTTGTTGATGATCAACTTTTGTTGTAAACATTATGGGATTCAGCCTGATTGCCGATTCGGCATCGAGTTCCCACATTTTCAGCGCTAACAAAACATTCAATGACAAAAAAAGAGAAAAACAAAAATAGTGAAAATAGTGATTGAGTTTCCACTGCGAATGTCACACAATCATGGCACAAGTGGATTGAGGTTGATGAATCAGGAAGGGGGAGGAAGCGTCCAGCTAGAGGAGATAGGGCCCTCGTCAAAAACGATTTCACGATGGCACGTCCATGTTGACAAAACTGCTTCAGGCGTCCCGATTCCTGCGGCCAGAGGCGTTCCCGCCGGACCGAACCAATGATTTTGTGGAGCGCCGGTGGTTCGTGCTCGGATTCCGGCGTAAGTTGTTCCATTGACTGTGTGGCCTAACATCCTGTTGACAAACTCAGGATCGTTCGAGACAACAGCGGCTGTCAAGTGGGCATCAATCCTTTCAAGTGCTTCAAGAAGCTTTGGCTCCAAGCTGTTGTTCCATTTGACGATGATCTGACAAAGCAAGAGGATTGCGTCACAAAAGACGGCGTTTGCTTACCTGAAGCGGTCCGAACAATTCTGTTGTGGCTGTTTCGAAGAAACGATCACTTGAAAGCATGGCGCTGAGATCAACCAGCACAGCCGTTGGTTCGAACGAGCCGTACTGAGAAGGGATCGAATGGCCTTCTAGAGGCTTGCCACCGAAAAGCAGCTTGGATCCGGGAATTTCCAGAAGCGCCTGCAAGAACAAGGTTGTGAAACGGACCGGGTTTTTCTCAAATGCTCACCTTGATGTGTGCCTTGATGTCGTCATTTGTATGGGAGAGTACGGGGCTCAAGGTCAACTCTGATAGGCTGGAATGATTCTGTATGAGCCAGGAATTGAACTGAATTGACGTACTTGCGACGTTTGGCTTGTTCAGCGATTCGATCGAGAAAACCAAGACTTTCCCAGTCATCGTGAAGAAGTAGCATCGACTGTGCCGAGCACTTTTGTCCTTAAAAAGAAAAAAATCCATTAGACATTAAGCTAAGGTCACCGTTGGCACTTCCCCATCCATTGAGGCTTACCCGCCATAGCGTAGGCGTCTTGATCACACTGCCATGCAACGTAGGAAACCATTTTCTCAATATCGTCCTCTGGTTTCCGTCGAATCGGTCCCAAAATCTTCCAATCGAAACCAGCATCCTCAAGTTTCACCTTTCCTTTCGTAGCTTCTGTCACCTTATGGGCAGCAGTCATACCACCGGTGAATTGCGTCATGCGAAAATCAACTCGTGTGAGCAGGTCGGACATCACAGACCCCTTGCAGTGGATCAGATCAATGGCGTCCTTAGGCAGGCCACACGCATGCATCAACCTCAAGAACTGTTCAACTGGCAGAGCAGTGCGACTTTCAGCCTTCACAACTGGTTTGTTCCCAACCATCGCAGCGGCGGCAAATTGCATAACAGGAATTTCTAGTGGGAAGTTGAATGGTGAAATGATTGCGACGGGACCATAAGGCCATCTGTAGAGCGCGTGATGTTTGTATCTGGGTTATGTTGTACGGCCTGAACTAGTCCCCACTCACCTGTGTCCCATTGTGCGTTGTCCTTCATGATCGCCGGCCTGGAAAAACCCTCTCATCAACATGCGAACATTATCTCCACTGAAATTTTCGAAGAATTTTCGAACTACAATTACTTCACCAGCAGCCTGAAGAGCGGAAATCTTCCAACCAGGACGAGTGGGAACACGCTACTTGCCTGAATTCGAGATTTTGGCATTACGCGCTGAATGCATTTCGTAAAGAAGTCTTCGATTTCAGGGACATGCAGGGCTTGAGCAACTCTGCGGTTAATATCACCATAAAGCTGAAACCTCTCGGGAGATTTGTAGATGTTGTGGGTGCCTGTTTTCGGGACCATTTTCATGCTCTCGATGAACGGAAGCAGCTCATCTGGCTGAAGAAAAACCGATCGTAAGATGCACATATCACTCAGTCTTCTTACTTGGGTATCTGGTGCCACAATAAAGGGTTCTCCGTTCAACGGGTCAGGGACAACAACTGATTTGGACGGAGTGTACCATTTTCCGTTGACACAATTTTCGAGGCGCGCAGGATTTTTTCCGTTGAGTTTGTTGAGGTTGATGGTAGAGAAGTCACTCAGGGTCGTCATATTGCGACTGATTGAATTTCGAGATGCGCTAAAAATTAGAAAGGAGTTCGTGGACCGGATCAATCTGGATCGGATCAAACTCAAGTTCATAAACTGGCAACACTAATGCTAGCTCTCCTGCAAGCAGTCCCAATATCGTACAAACAGACTTTGTCACAAAATTGGACAAGTGCATGATCTGACTATTATACAAAGATGGTCTGGGAAAATGAATAAAAACAATGAGTCGATGGTTTTTCAACGGGGTAGGAATTTCAAACGCTCATGATCAAAGAATAAAAAGCGCCTTGAGATGAATCAGCTGTTTGGATGGCTCGATGGGATAGCTCCTTGGAGACTCATTTGGAGCGACAAAGATGTCAATTCATGATCACTGCGACGCTGGGGTTCCTCGTTTGCCTCTTGAGCTTCATTTCCGTCAGAAGAACTTCCCATCGTTGGAACGCGAAGGTCTCTAGCGATTTTCCATGCGAGTCTGTATGTCGGTGAAGGAGTGCCTGTGATTTCATGCAGGTTGATGCTTCTGTTCCACTCGGTCTCGGGATTTCCACCTACGGCACCTGAAGTCCTCTGAGGACTCAATATCATGTCACCTCTCGCAGAACGTGGTTGAGGGATGGAGGGTAACGACGTTCTACGGGGCCTTGGGGTACGTGTTGGGCTGTGTGGTGGCGAGCCTAGAGAAAGGATAGCGCTTCAATGATGCACTTGGGTGCTCTGGACTATCGTGACATCACAAATTTTCTACGTGTAATGCCTCCTCTAAACACCCGAAGTGAACATACCGCTCGAATTGGGGCCTTGTGATTCCTCATTTAGTGAATCTTCTCTGTTTGGAGAGGCTTGGGGTTCGATCGAATGGCTTCGTGTAGAACGGCTTCGGCTTCGTTTTCTCACATCAACTCTGGCCTGGCCTTGATCCAAATGAGGGGATCGAAAGTTTTCGCGACGATTTGGGATTGCCTGAATGGTCTGATGCAATAAAGCAGCTGTTAGTAATGGCCGAGATTGGTCAACCAGACGTCTCGATCGAACGAAGAAATAACATTGAGAACGCATCTAGCATACCAATTGGTTTGGAGTTCTTGATTCTCCCGGATGAAACCGTCTGGCTGTGACGCGGGCCGTCTCTCCGTGGTCTCTTGATGTAGCGGCACCCTGCCGGTTTCTACGAGTTCGACGCACTTCAGCTGACGGATCTGTCTGAATGGATGCTACTGCGTCCTGAAGATGATTCTGCCAAGGTGTTCTCTCTGTTCGTCGAGATGAAGGAAGGCGATGTTCTACTCCACCATTTTCGGTGCGATGTGGCACAGAAGATATCAAACTGTTCCGATGTCTCGAATGGAGGCCAGAACTTGGGAGATTAATCGGCGGTACAAGGAATGAAGACCGCTGTCGAAGTGCATTAGACGATGATCCCTCTGTGTAAGTTAACTGTCCCGTCGTCATAGTTCCCCCCACGACGGTACCACGAGGCTGTTCCATGATGGATGTCGGATTACTGGTTGGTGTTCCTTCCATTGCATTCATGGTGCTGATCCACTCGTCCATTGCAACCGTCGGATATCCCACACTCATCGTGTTCCCTATTGCATTGAGAGACCGCCTCACGGGGTGGCTTCTTCGCACGAGTGGGTTTGAGACTGAAAAACTGTTCAAATGGGCTGGCGATTGCATCTGGATCAATCCCTGATTCAAACTGATTTGGATCGACGAACGACGTGGAGCGTTGGCCTGCCTGTGCTCTTGGATTCCGTCTCTGACTCGCTGGTTCTCGACACGATTAAGATGATCGGTTAACATCAAGCGCTGATCTGCGTCGAGATCGCAGTGTTCGATTCCGGATAGAACAGAAAGGCGACAAACTGGGCATGACGTTCTTGCTCGGAGCCAGTGATTGATGCATTCAGGATGAAAATGATGAAAGCAAGGAAGACGCCGGATCTCATCGTTTTCGTCGTAGTCAAGTTGACAAATTAGACAAGTGCTGGCGAACACATAAACGGAATAGTGAAAGGGGTTCAATTCAAAGGAAGCTGCTAACGAACATCAGAGACCTTTACCTTCGGTCTTCAGCTCTGGTTGGATCCGGATGGAAGCGTTCTACGGGGAGAATCTAGAAACAGCAAGAACAAGAAACTATTCGAAATCGTGTAGCGAAAAGGTTCATCTTGGATGGGGATTACTTCTATCAGTTCAGCAGGGATTCCATCGAGATTATCATACTCCTCCGTTGTACCGAGTGGCTCAGAAGTGAATGATGGTGATGGGACACCGAACGACGGAGCTGGAATCAAGCCGGCGACATTTTGAAGAGAGGGACTGACAGTGAAAGGATGCGTTTATACAAATCAGTGCGTGACAGTTATGATTTTAATTAGGAGTGACGTCACGCGGCGTACTCTCGAGTTTGGCGAACAGTTGCGATGTTCGAACCAGTGGGTATCTGTTGGTGCGATTCGACGAAGCGAGTGACGGTTGGAGTATTGGAGCTCGTCAAAGACGCGGAACGACCAAAAACGCCACGGATAGGATCGAGGACTGTGGATTGTGTTGGAAATGAAAATCTAGTTGTGGACCCCCCAAATGAGTGCCGAGTTGATTGAATGGGATGAATGATGGAGCCACTGAAGGTGAGGGGCATTTGAGAGAAGTGCGAAGATGAATCAGAATTGTGGTAGTTTAGTGAAGGATGCCTATGGGACGGAGTGGACGACCTCTGGGACATTTGCGCTGGGTAGTTCGGCGGAGGTAGAATGGGCGCATGGGAGGACAAAATTGACGGAATATAAGTAGAGCGCGATCGGGAGTAGTGGGGATCCAGGGGTGATGGTGCCAAAGTGAGGGGTACCGATGTTGAAGGAGATTGAGGGGGTGGCACGAGAAAAGACGTTCCACGCGGGAGATATGTGGAATGGGATGAAGGGGATGAGGAACGGGCTTGCAAAGCGGGGGAATCTGGCATTGAATTACAACGATTAGAGGGCGAGAAAAAAGAGAACTGTTGGATTCTTGTTTAGCTGAGTTACAAGCGGGAAATGTTTTTGTCCTTTTCACTTTGGTGAGTCATGGAGAAGCGGTTTCGGAACGCTTGTGAATTCAGCTCAAATTTTACAACTCCAAATTGATCTGCATGCATCTGCTACTTCGTCTCAAGAAAAAGGACACAACTTTCTTAACTTCTATATGAAAACTGTTTCAACGATTTTGATTCAACATCATCATCAAACATTGTCCGATGTCTGCACGCTTAGCACATCCATATCGGAGTCCTTCAGTTCGACTCCACTGCCTTCAATCATCCACATCAAAGGTTTGTTTGCGATGAACGTCCTATCACAGATCGCACTGAGTAGTCGTTCAGATCACTGAGTCTACCAATCAGGTTGCAAAAAACCGTTCTATGTTGACGAAATCGCTGTGTGTGAATCTTATCGCCATTTCACTAAATTCTACAACTACAGCAAGACCCTCGTAGACAATCTTCTTTTGGGGAAACCAACAGTGGTTCTTCTTCAAGAGGCCCATGCAGGTACGCAAAGTATATCGACGACGTGGTTATTCCATCTCTGCAGATCGGCGGTTGTATCTAGGGAGCAAGGTAGCTGCTGCTAAGGAGAAGCCAATTGGATCGAACGACTTCGCATTCGACTGTAGCGGTCTCCTTCCATGCGTACGTTGTTTGAATCTTTATTTTGATGTGGACGTGTTGTGCTAGGTCTTCCACAGGTTGGCAGCCTTGAGGCAAAATGTTTCAGAGATCGCTAACTCTTCTCCATCGACCCTTCTTCAATGTATTTCTACTGTGTCAGCTTTACTTCTTGACTACAATGACTCAACGACCGTGTACCTCGCGCGCTCTTCCGGAGAAGGAGAGAAATATAAGCTTAAGCGGACTCATTTTGAGCGTGAAGCATCTGGACTTGTAAGACATCCAACATCTTTTTTGCTGCTACGATTTATCAATTTTCCCTCCCTCTCAATATCAGAGGCTTCCTGACGACGTCACACGGTATCCATTAGACTCCACATCTATGTCCGATTTGCTTGGGTGTCTGTCGAGCCTCGCTTCACGCTCGCACGTCTCAATCGATTCACCTATCGAGGAATCAGTCTTCGTTGATGGTCGTTGGACTCTTGCTGTCTCCATCGATTGTCAGTCGAAGTGGCGTGATCCTGCTTCAGGTACTTTGCATTCAGTGAACCTTTCTCTTCAGTATTGTACAACGCTGTATAGCGGCGCGTTTGTTGTGTTCTTCAATCCAGGTCAGGTGACGTGCAAGAGTGCCACTGGGCTACTGGTGTCACTTCCACCCTACGAGCGGCTGAGGCTTTCAGCAGCGGGCGTCCAAGCAGCTTCAACTGATTTGTCTCCGTTGCACCTCTTGAGGAACTGTTTCGCCGCGTTAGAATCTTCTGCGCAGATCGCTGATCGGAATGATGGATTACAATACGACGCTCTCAGTTCGCTCTGCAAAATTCGACCAAGCTCTCGTTTGTTGGGATTTCTCGATCGGATCATTTCTGTTGGTGGGTACTTCTTCGTCCACTTACATTCATGTTGTGGGTCTCACGATCGCTGACCTGTTGGGTTTCCCTCCCTTTTCTTGACTTTGTAGACGAATCTCATTCAATCTTCATTGGTGAAATGATAGATGTTTTGGCTGACGGGCGAGAAACGAGCCTTCCTGACGCATTGGAAGTTACAATAGAAACGCTACAGGTGCGGGATCCCTGTTCCTCTTACTTCGTCACTCCTTTCGTAGATGTTGTCTGAAGCTCGCTCGTTGCGCTGTTCTGCATCACGCGGCGTTCCAACCTTCTCTGGCGATTTGAGAAGCACTCTCAGGTATGCCAGACACATTGAGTAAGGTGCCCTAATGGCTTTTTAGCACGTCTACAGAAGCATTGGATGAATTGGAGGTCGAGAACTCCCGTCTTAGGGACGCTCTCGCCTCTGCGTTAGCTGTGCAGAGCCTCGAGTGGAGATTGGAACG